ATTGCGCCAAGAATTATCACCAGAGTTGAACCACACAACCAGGTAGATTTGTGATATCGCTTTTACCAATAAAGGTTTAACGATAAGAATTTCTATGAATGGTATGTTTTACACTTAGGATGAATCATGATTTGGAATAAATTAGGCTTTGACATCCTTCCAAAAAAATCAACTATAAAATAAATGAATTGTGTAATTGTATAATAAACAATTTTACTTCCATATCTTTGGTTATTTTAAATAGAATATCGTATTTACAATTCATATTTGCAAATTGATATGCCCATAATAACTAGAGTGAAAAATGTTAAAACGATCATGTAAACATATTTTATATTTTTTTTGTGTTATTAAGTCATATGAGACTAACTGTTGAATTAACCAATAAAAACCTACTAAAAATATTACAAAAAATAGGCCCAAGCACAAGTGTGACTGATATTTTTCACTTACTTTGCCATTTTCATTTGATTTTCTTCAAAAATGTTTTTTATGTTTATAATATTGACATCCATACTATTTTTTCCTAGCATGCCTAGTATAGTGGTACAATCACACAAACTGTACCAATAATAATGGCTGTTCGTTTCTACCTTTTTTTTTTTTTTTTTTTTTTTTTTGCAATATTCCCTTTGACAAAGAAAAACTCTATGATTGCGTCTGCATTATAATGTTCTTTAAACTTTACTATAAAATATTACTAACGAATCTTGAAATACAAATGAGTGAAGCATATTTTTTTTTGGTGAGTAATTAGTGAAGCATATTGATAAAACATAAAAGTGTATGCGATTTAAAACATTACTGATTGAATATGCATAATCTTAATTTAGGGAAAAAAAGTGAAGTAGGTATAAAAAAATGGATATAACAAGATTAAAAACAAAAGAGAAATAAATGTTACGCAACAACCAAAGCCAAAAGGGTGCGTTACCATTAATTCAGGGAAAGCGAAATAAACCCAAATCTCTCTTCTAAGAGCATGATTATAGGTGATATTCATATAGTATCATTAGGAAATTTTTAGTATTATTTATAATGTTTGTTTATTAATTGAGATTTTTTATGATACTCCTATTAAATATGTTTGCATTGGTGAAACCGGTTTAGTATCATAAAAAATTTTTTTTGCAAAATCAAAGAGATTTGGGATGCTATTATTTTTTAAGAAGCAAAACGTACAAGAACTAAAAAGAGATTTGGGTTTAGAGAGGAAAACAATTAAAAGAGATTTGTGATTTGAGAAGGAAAACAATTAAAAGAGATTTGTGATTTGAGAAGGAAAACAATTAAAAGATACTTGTTTTTAGAGAAAGAAAACCATTGAAAGATACTTGTTTTTAGAGGAATTGTATTGAGAAATATGAGAAGAGGAAGAATCGTTTTGAGCTTGTCACCACTTCATCTGATGCATCTGAGATGCTTGCAGCCTTGGTAGCAGCACGAGCTGCCTTCTTGGTAGCAGGCTTCTATGACAAGTAAAAAAATAGTCAGAGATCTATTGAAACAGAAAACAGAAAACTACCAAGGCTGAAAACTGAAGTAAAACACAATACATAAGTAAAATAAGTGATCAAGAAACAGCAAACTGAAGATATTACAAGTACAAGATAAAATTTATCACCTCATCCTCAGAATCATCATCTGAGTACTCATCAGAGAAAGAAGAATCTTTAGCAGCTGCCTTGGCATTCTTAGCAGCTGGTTTCTTTGAAGGTTCCTAATTATTTTCCAATCAATCAACATTGTAAATTACATGTTTTGCCAAAAAATAATTCTAAAGCATCCACAAAATACTTATGAGATGCTTACTTCTTCAGAAGATGAATCATCTTCAGACGAACTCTCAGCCTTGGCCGCGCAGGCTTCTTGTTTGCAGCAACGTCCTGAAATTATTTGTAACAGCCAAGAGCTAACTGTATTAGCACAACTCTTATGATACAAGACATAAACTTCATAAGAATAAGAAATTAATCAGAAGATAAGTCATCCTTAAGACTTCTTAGCAACAGATGAATCATCACTGCTTGAAGCAGCCTTGTTGGCTGGAACTGATTTAGGATGAATCATTACTGTCATCAATTTCACTCTGTTCCTTAACTTTCTATTGACAACAAAGTCTAAACTATTCTACATTTCTCCAAAAGTATCAACTTTGACGTAACCCTAGATTCAACTGGATAAAGAAATGAACTTTCCTGCTACGACAGAGCTCGACGGCGACATTATCAGGTTTCACAGTACGGACGACACGTTCAACGACGGAAGCAGACTCCGACGACATATGAGAAGTACCCACAAGCCAAATCGACTCCGGCTCAACGAACTCTTTGCGCCAAGCTGGAACAGGACCAAAACTCTGTTTCTGGACAAGAATCAAAGTCCCGTTATCGGCGAGGTCAAGCAACTCCGGAAAAGTTGTTGCGATTGCAGCGCGTGAGTCCGACGCGATTTCGTTTCGGAAATCGAACTCCGGCGGAGGAGTTTGAACGGAGACGGAGACGGAGACTTTGATGGGTTTGAAGAAAGGTTTTGAAGTTAAGGGAGTGAAGAAAGGGAACTTCACGGCCAAGGAGAGATGGATCGAAGAGATGAAGTCGGAGGAGAAGCGGAAGGAACGAAGGACGGCAAAATGATTTTTTTTTTTTTCTCCTTCTTTCGGCAAAACGCAACAAATCAGAAAGTGACACGTCACTTGATACCCAGTATCAAAAGTATTACTGGGCTGATACGGATCAGATCCATTTTTATTGTTTGCTCCATTAAAAATTAATTTATGGGCTTCTGATACTATAAAAGTATCACCCATGTACATGGTCTAACGAAGTAACAACTCACCCACTTCTCCTATTTATTCACTCCTTTCCACTTTTTACCTATAGCCTTCGTTCATCAATCACCTTAAACAAATTGCATTCACAAAAAAAGGTACAGTACTTAACAAATTTATTTATCTGTTTTTTTTTTCAATTATGGCATCTTAGCAAATATGCACCACAAATTAGCATTAGCAAATATACAACACAAACTAACTTAAGAAATATCCAACACAAAATGACATTAACAAATATCCAACACAAAATGACATTATCTTAGATGATTAAGATAATTCGACCCCTATAACTACTAGTTTCCAAAACTTTGCCTGACTTTTCTCTCGATAGCGATGGTTAAGAAGATAGATACAAAGTTTTGAAGCCCGAAAATAACAAAAGGACACAAAGCTTTTAATTTTCTAGGGATAAGAATTAGCTTTGGTCACGTAAAAAAATTAAAAGTGATTAGTTTAACATATAGGAGTATTTTGAATTCCAAGGTCCTTGCAATAAATAAACACACGTACTCTGTAGTCACACATCTCTAGGAGCTTAATATTGGATAATCGCTTGTAGTAAGATATTTAGCAGGTCAAATCCCTATTAACCACTATCTTCTACTCACGTCCGTACAGTAGTATAGTTTTGTGTTGAATTCTATAAAGTACAAATTCTTCTTTCGGTGCCAATAAAAATAAACACAATCTCAAATTACATTTGTA